ACAAGCAAGTTTCAAGTTAATTTACACTTGCAAGAGAGATAACTAAATTGTGAGTACTAGACATTTTTTTACTGGGCGAGAGATTCCTCCCCCCGCGGACGGCTGTGTGTTCGTATCAATATGGGTTTGAGTCAAGGCACTCCTTGGCAGCCTCTTGGTCAGCAATTGGCGTATCTCTGTTTACAGCCATTCACGGTCACACAGCCTGGGCCTTCTGCTCTGTGTGCCCTGCATGCTCCAGGCAAGCAAAAATGGATGTTACAAGGGGGGTTCCTGTCTGGCTACACCATATCAAATGCCTTACTAAAAGCTAGGTATACCATTTCCACCATACACCAAGCCACACACTTGCTCAAATGTTTGCCTAACAATTCTCAAGTTAGGTTCTACACAGATGAAGGAATGGATGTATCAATTTAATATGGAATGCTCTTGGTTTTAAAATTAGCAATATAACAGTGGGGCAGGAAGATTCTTTTTCAAAATACATTTTTGTGACCATTAACTACAACATTCTATCTTTTGCCCAGGACAGAATTTAGCAATAATTATAGGAATTATTATTGAAGTTAATTGTTGTTGTTGTTGTTGGTTGTCTCTCGGGAGCCGAGGAAGACATGTTTTGCATTTCATTTGTGGAAACACATGTGGCTCTGGAGCCCAAAGGTCAAAGCACACATGCAGTTACAGACAGGGCATGGAACACCGGTTGTCAGGACAGGATAGAACTCAGCTCTATATCGTCTTTCATGTGCAGCTGCGAGGCATTGGTGGCAGTGGTCCTCAAACTTTGTCACTGCTTTCCTTGGAAGGGAATGCCAAGTAGTCCTATCTGCAGCAGCTAGTTCAAATTGTCGAGGTTGAAGGCCTGTCTACTGAAAGTTGGTTGTCAGGTTGTCCTTATATCTCTTCCTCGGGTGTCCCTGTTTGCGACTACCACGTACCAGCTCCCCATAGAACAGCTGCTTCAGGATCCTGCTTTTGTCCATGCGGAGAACATGGCCAGACCATCGAAGCTGGGTCTGAAGGATCTTGGCTTCGATGCTTGTGGAACTAGCTCTATCAAGCACTTCTTGGTTAGTAATTCGGTCCTGCCAGCATACTCTCATGATTGATTGTAGGGAGCGCATGTGAAACTGCTCCATCCGCTTGATGTGTCTACAGTACCGAGTCCATGTTTCACAGCCATACAGGAGAGAGGTGAGGACCATGGCACTATATACCTTGAGTTTACTTGAAAGGCGAATATCTTTGTGCTGGAGAACTTTAGTACGCAATCTCCCTGACTGGCTTTCTGGATCCTCGCTGTAATCTCTTTGTCGAGGGATCCATTACTTGCTATTGTGCTACTTGATATTGTGCTGCCCAGGTACTTAAAGTTGTCTACTACCTTCAGTTGTGTGCCATCAATAATGATGCATGGCTATGGGGGAGCACTGTTTGGTGCAGGCTAGAAGAAGACTTCTGTCTTTCCAAGGCTAATTGCGACACCGAACAGTTTGGATGCTTCAGAGAACGTGTCAATGATGGTCTGCAGGTGGATCTCTTGGTGTGCCATAAGGGTGCGGTCATCAGCAAACAGCGCTTTGGTGATAAGCCTCTCCAGTGTCTTGGTCTTTGCAGTAAGGTGTCTCAAATCAAACAGTGATGTAAATACCAAGATCCAGGTCTCTAACAGCATGCATGAAGACTTGAGTGAGATTAAAAAACCCCGGGGTGAGTATGCAGCCCTGCTTCACGCCATTAGAGATGTTAAATTTCTCAGATAGCATACCATCTGAGAGTACCTCTCCTGTCATGTCATCATGAAACAGCTTGATGAGTGAGATGAACTTTGGTGGGCAACCGAGCTTCCCGAGGATGATCCACAATGCATCTCTGTTAACCGCGTCGAATGCCTTCGTCAGATCAATGAAGACAGAGTAGAGGTTCATATTCTGCTCAAGGCTCTTCTCTTGCATCTGTCTCATTACAAAGATCATATTGACAGTACTGTGATTAGGGTGGAAGCCACATTGTGACTCGGAGAGACTCACTTCTGAAACTGTCAAAATTCGGAGACTCACTTCTGAAACCGTCGAAATCAGCCTATTCAGGATGATGTGGGCGAGGATTTTCCTGGCAACAGAAAGCAGTGAGATACCTCTATAGTTCCTGCAGTCGGCTCTTGCACCCTTATTCTTGTACAGAGCAACTATCATGGCATCACAGAGGTCAGATGGCATTTCTTCCTCTTCCCAAATACTGGTCAAGACATTATGAAAAACTTAAGTGACTCCTCATTAAATACCTTGTACAGTTCTGCAGGAATTCCATCCTTGCCAGATTCCTTGCCACAACTCATCTGCCTGATGGCCTTTCTAACTTTGTCAATAAATGGAGGATCTCTCAGGTCTTCAAGGGTTGGCTTCTGAGGGATCTGTTCCAGTGCTGACTGATCGACTGATGATGGTCGATTCAGGAGCTGATTGAAATACTCTTTCCATCGGTTATTAATGCCAGCCTTATCCCTGATCAACGTGGCTCCATCTGCAGACAACAAGGGGGCAAAGCCAGACTTGGAAGGACCAAAGACTGACTTGATGGAGCTGAAGAACTCCCTTGGGCTGTTTAAGTAAGCATAGTGTTGCACCTCTTCAGCTTTCTTCTCCCACCGCTAATCGTGCATTTTGAGGATTTCTCGCTGAGCCTGGACCTGGAGGAACTTAAACCTGTCTTTCTCAGAGATGGAGCCTGGGTCATTCTGCTACTCCATAAATGCCTTGTTCTTCTTGGCAAGCAGGTCCTCAATAGTACTGTTATTCTCATCAAACCAGTATTGATGATTGTGTTTCTTGGGACCGAGCACTGACTTCGCTGTCTCCATCATCATTTCTCTAAACTGGCTCCACTTCTGAATCGGACTGTCTGTTGGCAGTTAACTTTTCAATAAGGCTTGACTGGAACTTACGCAGATGAGGCAGATGAGAAGGCTGCTGGAGTCTGGCAATGATAAAGGCTGTTCGGATGAGGTTTGAGCGCTTTGGGTGATGCTGAGCGATGTGTATTTTGAAAATGGTACGGACAAGCCTATAGTCAGTCCAGCACTCTGCTCCTCGTATGGCTTTGGTGATGAGGACATCCTGAATATCATACTGATGAACAATGACATAATTTATCATGTACCATTGTTTCGATGTAGGGTGCATCCAGGTAGTCTTGTATATGTTTGCCATCCTGAACACTGTGTTCATGATGAGGAGGTCATGTTCTGCACATTTTCTCAGGAGCAATAAGCCGTTGCTGTTCACCTTGCCCATGCCATGTTTGCCTAACACTCCCGCCCATCGACTGTTGTTGAAGCCATCTCGAGCATTGAAGTCTCCCAACAATATCGACTTGTCGTTGGCCAGCAATGAGCACAGAATGGAACTCAGGTTGATGTAAAACTGCTCAATTAACTCCTCTGTGCTGTTCGTGATGGGAGCATATGCACTGATGACTATTGCATACCACTTGTGACTAAGGGATAAGCGTAGCTTTATGAGCCTCTCGTTAATAGTGACAGGCGGTCCGAAAGTTGTTTCATCAGACTAGTCTTAACGGCCAGGCAGACTCCATGGATCCTATCCTTATTCTGTGCTTTCCCTTTCCAGAAAAAGGTATAATCACTAGCTAGGTCAGTGAGATCCTTCTTCAACAAGCCTGGTTTCACTCAAGGCAGGAATATCAGTACCATAGCATGAAAGCTCTTTAGCAACTAGGGCTGTTCTCCAATGAGGTCTTACTGTATCCTCACTGTCCATGAGTGTACGGACGTTCCATGTTCCCATTACCAACTTCTTTTTTTTTGCACAACATAACCTGTGCGTGAAAAATATTATAGTGGGAAAGCCTTTGCACAGAGACGATCGCACTCTCTTGGCCTCAGAAGTCAGAATCCAGTGCCACGAAAAAATCGTTACTTCTGGAGACTACCTTGGCTGCATTGGATGGCCATGTCACCTTAAATGCTCTGACATGCCCACACATTCCATAGCGCGCTGCTGCAACACCTTCTCAGCTGTTGAATCATAAGGATTTCCTCTGCCTGATCCATCGAAGCAGTCTTCGCATGCTGGGATGAGCAAGTCCTTAACTCACTAATGGTTTCAGACCCATCGGCTACCCTCACCTGGTTTAGCCAGCCTGTCAAGCTGTTGCCCGGGGTGTGGCTGTTGCGCATAGAAAGCAACTAAGTGGAGACACAGGTGAGAGCTGGGTGCCAATAGAAATCAATAAAGAATGGGCCACTCCCAAAGAAGTGCGACAAGCCCTCCTTTAGAGGTACTACCCCATTAGAGGTACTATCATGCAACGCCATACACCCCAAGTTAACTGTATTATTATTGAAAGGCTAGGGGATACTAGTGTGCAAACTGTTTCAGTGGGAATTCTGACTCTACAAGGAAAGCAAGATTGGCTGTCTTGATATTGCATTCCACTCTCTCTCCTTCCTCTCTTTGTTTTATTGCACTTTTAAAAGAGATTCCCTAACTGCATATGTGTGTGTTTTGGATTTGTTTCATCTGCAGTGTTGCTGAAGCCAGTAGGGAAACAAACAGATATACTGTAATAACAATCAGGACAGTTTTCACGGTCATTTATTTACTCATTTCTGGTAGAGCCACAAAATGTCAAGAGCTTTAAAAAAACACACATACCCATAACCACAAAGGTTCCATCTCTCCTCCAAATGCATCAACAAAAGGAACGAAACTAGTTTTGAAAGAAGACAGCAAAACTGCAAGTAGTGATTCACACTTTGATTACTGCTATAAGGCCTGATCCTGCATTTTTTACTCAGGAAAATGTCTAATTTTAGAGTAATACCGTTTGCAGTTATTTCCCTGAGTTCAGTTAATTGAATTGCCACATATTATAGCAAGAAAAACCCCATGGTAAGGAACTAGATGAGTAGGTAAGAATCCAGGGTTAATACTGGTATCAGACCTAGTTTGGTATGTTGCTGAATTTAGGGAATTGACATAGTCAGTTACTGCATTTTCAAATCTCTGAAGTTTCCAAACCGTTTTGTAATATGCTGCAGTGCATGTCCCCTCATCTCTTAGTACTAAATTATTAAATACTGAATTAATTCTAGAGCAAAGCTACATGTAACTTGATGGTGCATGACTTCAGGAACCTGCTAAGGTAATTCTGTTTTTGTTCAATGTTGCTTATGCATATTTTACATGTTATCACTGGAAATCTCTCTTTGTTTTTTCCTTCTTCTCTTCTTGCTTACCCTATAGGCAGAATAGAGCTATCTGGTAAATTATTTATCTGGAAAATCATATTTTATGTGGGGGAAAACTGTGGATTTTACCCTTCCTTTCCAAGCAGTTTGTGTAAGTAATAGGATAATATGTGGAAATGAACTTTGTAAATTATGTGGAAGGATTTCTTTGTAAAGCTGAACTGCTCTGTGTTACGAGATCATGTTTAGTTACACATACACAGCACTAATTAGTGTACTTCTGTTTTGACTGAAATTATGCATACATTTGAAATAAGTTAACTTTAAGAACAGAACACTTTGCACTCGTTGTATATAGGTTAAGATTTCCAAAACTAGCTCAGGGATTTATCCCCACAAAGGCCATTGATTTTTATTTATTAGGGGCTGTGTGGTTATATCTTCAGGTTAACTTTAAAAAGTTCCAGCATTGTACTTTTCCTGTTAATGTTTCAAAGCACTCTGTGCGCAGGTGAGTTTTATTGCTACTGTGTTACAGAGGAATAAACTGGGGCGCAGCAAACTGATTTCCCCCACAATTGAAAGAAAAGCTTTTCAGAGACACTGCATTTAGGCCCTGATTCTGGTGTCACTGAAGCCAGTGCCGGAATCAGGGACAGAATCCATGTTACCTAACTCCCAGTCCTAACCTCCAACTGCTAGAGACACTATTCCTTTGAGTCAGTCTGTCAAAAACTTCTGAGGAAGGTGAACTTTTAAAAATATTGGAATGGCTCACAGAGCCAAAGTTAATATTTTTTTAATGAAATGTTTAAAGCCAGACATAAATATGTGAGATAGTTGAGCTGTTGAGTCATTTGGAGTTTATGACTTGGCTCTGAACCATTCATCTAGTGAGAAGCCAGTCTTTGATTATCACTTCCTACTTCACTTAGGAAGTATTGTTGTTTGATAGCAATACAAGTGGATTTTAGTGGAGCAGGACAGAGTCTTTGACTCGGAATTAGTCAGAATCAAGCCAGATTCCACAAACAGGGTTGCTTTATTAGAAATATGGAATGTGCTCCTCCCTCCCCAAATTATAGGATACTTTCATCAAAGCAAGGCACACTGGGATAGGTTCTGCCACTCCTCACATTGAGAAGGTCCTTACACTGTGCATAGCCCCACTGAAATAAATGTGAGAGAGGGTGGCAAAAGATGGTCTTTCATTCTCTGCACTACCTACATGTCAGAGAAATTTTAAGACAGTTCTTGGTGATTAGTTTTAAACTGAGTTGTCACCTAATGGTAGTCATATGAATTGTATCATATGGTGTTTCTATAAGTTTACTGAAGGACTGAGACAGGTGTTCTAAGGGTTAGGATCAGTTTTCCCCCCAGTTTTTCAGAGGGTGAGGCTGCATCATTTGTGTTCTCTCTGAGTCCAATTCAAGACTCAAAGCAAACCTCAAACTCAATATTTCACAAGACTGTGGCAGTAAGGAGACCTTTGATATAATTTCTTGATGGTTAGCAAAACCTAGCTTGCCCTTATATTATAACCTAACTAGGAAATTAGAGCCCAGCAATACTGTCTTCTGGAATTCTTAGTAGTTATTTCCAGCAAACTGCTATGATTGGCAATACTTGAGATTCCAGGGGCTCAGTGTATAGTGTGTAGAATAAGCATGTTTATGTATATCAATCAAAAGGAATAAGAGCATATATAGTTATTAAAACTGTAATGATCTATGACTGTTTTTTTATACAAATCAGCAAACTGATTATTCTAGTCACGGCTTTTCCACACCTTTCATAGTATGCCCCACATATGGAACAACACTGTTTTTAAGCTTTCTTGGTTGCTTGCATTGAGCACTCTTCAGCTGTTCCAGAAACCTGTGGCCATAGTATTTCAGGGTAGCTTCAACTTCAGAATTCCACTGTGATTTCCACAACTGCATCTGCATTTTGATAACCTCCATCTATCAACTTGAAATAAGCTATGCAACTTAAGTGAGTCATGTTAATTTTCTTTTCCATTTAGTATTGCTTTGCTGATTCAACTGTAAACTTTACTATTGTTTTTATATTCTGGATATTTTCCTATAAAAGCCACTGCCTCCTAATAAACACCCATGATCAGAAAGGGCTTTGTAGAAGCCACACTAGTTTAATACATTAACCGTCAACCTCACCATTCCTGTTTATCATGCAAGCCGCAGGGTCAAGTAATTAAATTTGAGAGATGCTTGTTTTTTTGATGCCACTCTTGATTTAAAGCCCCAAGTAATTATACTTAATAAAATATACAACTAAAAAACAAGCTATTTGTTGTTCATTTTGCATAGCTCAGTAGTTATCTTCATACGCTGCTGTTCATGCTATGTATTTTCCTATATTAGCCACACATCCCAGAAGACCTTTACCAATCAAGTTCTGTGTTCATTGCTTTGTTGACCGACATGTTTATTATTTTTGTAAGAGTTGAATCCTTTGATAGCTGATTTCTTGGATATACTCATAAAAGAAAAACTTTTCAATTAATTCTAACGCCTAATAGCACTCCTTATAACTGATCCTGAAAGGTCAGAGTGGAGGGGAAGTTTGCAGGATTAGGTCTGTCTGGAGGTGTGAAAGTTGAAGATGTGTATCCACAACAATACAGCTTGACTGAGTCCACAGTATGCCACATTGATCCTGTCAGGTGAGCAGCTCAGTTCTAGAAATCCTATCGCACAACAAAAGTCAGGTTAGGGAGACAGTAAGCAAGGATTTGACAAGAATTATCTGCATATACAGAAAACAGCAAAGAATAAGCTTTGTGTGAGCCTTGCAAAAGGAGCTTAGCTGAACTTCAGTCCAGTAATATCCTGCAGAACCATATGCAGAACCTTATGCTAGTTGAGGACTTGAGCTGGAGCAATTTAGTGCTAGAGCCACACTTCAGGAGGATTTCAGTGCATACCCAGTCTTGTTATGCTGAGCTGAGAATTTACTAGTAGTACATGCTAGTAAGGATGTAGTTAACTCATCTATTGTACAAGAGGCTGAGTTGAGCATGTAACACAAAATGCTAATTGAGCACTGCAGTATTATAGACAATTCTATATAGTCATTAAAATATGCCCAAACCTAGTTAATTATATATCTCAATTATGAGACTTCACAATTCAATTATCAAAGCAAATAACCATTTTATTTGAAAATTTGGCTGAATCAGCAAAGCAAGACAGATCAATCAACAAATTATGAAACTCAGTTCTCAAAATATATAAGGGAAAAATTAATTAATGTTAAGCAGTCTGATCATTACAGTTTGGAAACATTTATTGCATTAGTAAAATATGTGTATGGGAATGGAATGATATGGCATCTCATAACACAATAATCAACAGATGTCATATGAATCCTTAAGATTATGGTTTATCTTTGAGCTGTTTTCTAGACAGTATATTATCTCACACCAGCTCAGACAAGTATGCTGAAAAAAAAAAGAACTTTTAAGATTTTTATCCAAGTAAGTTTGGTTTCATTCCTGCAGAATAAATGAAATTTCTCTGAAGATATTAAGTGCCCTAATGCATTTGAAAGAGAATGAAGGCTTTATCTGCTTTTTTAAAGGAATGTGAAAATTAGGATAAGAGTTTGATTTCCTTTCACTTATGTTTAAGTGAACACTATTTACTGTGCATTTAGAATTGTCCAGGAAGAGAAAAGAACCTGTGCATACCACTTGGGTCTCAGATATAACTTTTGTTGCCTCATGAGGCTAACCAGGGAGGCAGACAAAGGGAACAGTGTAACCATAAAAATATAAAAGAGAAATTTTTGGACATGTGACTTCCCATTGCCTATGTTACACATCTTACGGATCTCTTAACTGATCATTAGTAATTAATCGGCCATTCCTTTCATTTCCAATTCCTAAAGATAAACTGGAACATTAAATGAAAAACTTAAATGTTCTAATCAGCTACTTGCTAACCAATACACTGAAGAGTTTGATTCAGCTCAGTTGCACTTATCTGCTATCCTGTTTCTAGAAACTTATGGGACTTTGAAAGCCTGGATATGAATGAATTCTCATAGTTATACAGTACAAAGCTTCTTAAAATTCACATCATTTATATATTTATTCTAAGATCATTGCTCAGTGAGTTTGCTGGCAATCAGTTTTGGGTCCAAAATGAGCAAGTAAGTCGACACAACTTCCATTGAATCAAGAGAATCTTTGGTCTGCCTAGTTATTCCGAGGTACATTTAGCCTCTGCTCACTAAGGATGACATGCAAGAAGATCTGTTCCCACATCAATGTAAATTACTTGTTAGAATTAGGGAAGGAATTGAATCCATGACCCATATCCATGCTATTATTAATTCCCAACAGTGGGCATTAACAATATATAATTTATTATAATTTGGTTAAACAAAATGTATTTCAGTAATTCTCCATTAAATATTTACCTCAATGTGCTAAAGTGTTGATGTCAATATGCATACATATAAGAACTATTTATGTATTCCATCACTTGTATTCTCTCTGATACATTTAGCTCCCTTCTCTAACCAACACTTAGTTGCAAAACTGTTGTGTCTTCTTCAGCTCTTTCACTCTTCTCCACTGGTTTCCATTTCTCTTGATCTTTTTGCATATTAAAATCTTATTAATCTTTTCACATCCAATATGAGAACCTTCTCCAGAACATTTTTTCTTCTATGGATTTGTATGCTTGTATCCAAAACTGTTTGCTACAATACAGTTAAGAGTTTTCTCAGTTTCCATTCTCATTCTTATCAGTCCTCTCAGCTTTCCATTTCTCCCTTTTACTTTGCTCTTATCCGTAAATATCCTTATGATATTTACAAAACAAATAATGTTTGAATAGTTTTTTGGTTGGTATTTCCATTGGAAATATCACAAGCAGTCATGTTTCCATGATATTTCCAATGACATTAATATCAGGAGAAC